TAAAAAGGAAAACTAGTGCTATTTTTAATTGTATTTTTATATTATTAGTTAAACCTAGTATTTGTCTTTCTAGCTCAAAACATAATCCCACAAAAGTCATTTTTTAATCTTGTGAAATTTACAGTAAGTCTTGTTCTATTTTTAATTTGTGTTTTTTATTTACTTTTTTTAACCATTGTACTTATTTTCTTCCCAAAACACTGACAACATCAACTTCATTATGTGTAGTAGTACTATACCCTACATGACCAAAAACTCTAGCTAAACTTGCCCCAAACTTCCTCCAAACTACAGATATCAGTAAAACTCAACCCACAATCAGGATAAAAATAACCATTTTTAAAAACCTAAAAAAATTTGATCACTTTGCCCCTGATCAAACCTCTATAATTGACCCCCAAATCAAACCTATTGGGGAAAAGTAATCCCTTTTTTATAACACAGATCACAACCCCAGCACATCCTAAAAAAGTAAAAGCTATCATACTTAACTACAACACGGGTCCTTAAGCAAACACTATGATGACCTCCGGGCACTCCTTGAATCACAAAAGAAAAACCCTTCCCCCGCATTATTCTTACTGAGACCTGTTTTAAGCAGGACACAATAGTATCTACCCTCTCCCCGGATACACGCAATTCACAACTGCAACCAAAACCAATTGGGGGGGTTTTGAAATCTATTACTCTAACCAAATTACTTGATTGACCATTTTCCCTTTAGTGATAAATTTTTTCAAATCACCTTATAATGGGTACTATGTCACCATTAAATAAAACACCACACAACCGGCCACTTTGTATGGATTCCCGCAGGAATGTCCTTGGTCCCCTTTTTTCCTTTCAAAAAAGATCTTCCAAAGGACCCCAACCCTGAAACCCATTCTTTTGCTGACGACACGCTTATGCATCTCTCACCCAATCTTGCCCCTCAAAACCATTGTTTAAAGAGGAGCTGATCAAAAAAATCGACTTGGATGAAAGCCCAATAAATTACACTTAACCCCTGACAAAAACCCACTAATTTTGTTTTGGTACAGAGCAGGGGAGCACAAAATTTAAAATTAAGATCACAACACTCTAATTTCCAGACAAATAGGGTAAATTCCTAGGCCCAACCTTTACAACACCCTGAATTTTTAGCACCATATCCAACACTAACCCAAAAAAGTATCCAAAACGGTTTTGGATCCTCTCCAAGATACGATACTACGTGCCACAAAATGCCCTTCTCAGACTATACTACTCACTTATTTATCCATACCTCACCTATGCTATTTGTGCTTGGGGATCAACTGCAGCAACACACCTAAAGCCAATAATAACCCAAACAAAAAGCTGCAGTAAGAATAATCACTAAATCCCATCCCTGGCAACACACCCCCCACTCTTCATAGATCTAAACTTACTCCCTGTTCAGTACATCCACACTTACTACTGTGCAATCTACATCTACAGGACCTTAAACTCCAATATCAACCTTGACCTAAAACGCTTTCTTGATAGTTGTGACAGAACCCACAGGCATAACACCAGACACAAACATCTCTACGACATTCCCCATGTCCTGATTAAACCTTTACAAAAATTCAATGTATGTCAAAGGCCCTAAAATCTGGAACACCCTACCTGAGAACTCTAGAACTGCAGACACATTCATCACCTTCAAAACTACCATTAGAAAACATCTTATCTCCCTGATACACCCCGTCAACTAACTACACGAATACCACCTGGTGGTTCACACTTACACTCACTCACCCATTTGACCATAAACAGAAATATTAATCTCAATCTTAAAATAATGAATCCTGTGATACTCCAATCCTGAAACTATGTACTGTGCCAAAACAAAAAAGCATTCACATTGCTAAACTCACAAACTAGTATTTAGTCACTTAGCCATAATACCAACTTACCTCATAATTTGTAATATTTTAAAATAAAGAATTAAACTAAGTCTGCCCGAAATGCCTAGCCATGCTAGGCGTTCTAGTGGTACACTCTGTAATCATTATTTATCTACATGTAAACCACACAACAACCAAATTCTGTAAATTCAACATTGTAATCTTTATAGAGAATAAACTTTGAATTCATTCTAATGAGGACACTAGAGCACTCCAGGATGATTTGAATAGACTGATGCAATGGCTGGAGAAGTGGCAATGCAGTTTATTATTGACAAATGCAAAGTTCTAAATGTTGGACAGTTAATTAACCATGCCACATATAAACTAAATAATGTAGATCTTAATACTACTGATTGCGAAAAGGATTTAGGAGTTCTGGTTAGCAGTAATCTAAAACCAAGACAGTGCATTAGTGTTCGCAATAAAGCTAACAGAATTTTTGGCTTCATATCTAGAAGTGTAAATAATAGAAGTCCTCAGTTGTTCTTCAACTCTATATATCCTTGGTTAGGCCTCATTTAACTATGCTGCTCAGTTCTGGTCACCGTATTACAGAATGGATATAATGCTCTGGAAAACGTACAGAGGAGGATGACAAAGATGATCCCATGTATCAGAAATCTTCCCTATTTAGGATAGACTGAGGGCCCTGAATCTGCACTCTCTCGAAAGGCGAAAGGATAGATAGATTGGAAGGAATAAATAAAGGGATGTAAATAGCGTGCTGAAAATTTCCAGCCAAGACAGGACTCGCAGCAATGGTTTCAAGTTGGAAAAATTCAGATTTAGTGAAGGATATAGGAAAGCACTGTGTTTGGTAATAGAGTTGTGGATGAGTGGAACAAACTCCCGAGTACAGTTATTAGGCCTAAAACGGGGGGTTTTAAAATGGGTTTAATCGGTTGGGGGGGGGTTGGACCTCTCGGGCGTGGCTGTGCATGTTCCTCCTTTTTTGTAAACGGGTTAGGGGAATTTTTTGGGGTTTATTTAATATTTTTTAATTTTATTTTTTTTTTTTATTTTTTATATTTTAAATTTTTTTGGGCCAAAAATACAGGGCGCTTATGAAGAAAAATGAATGAAGGGAATGGGACAATAAAGAACAAAAATTTTCAACGTCCCACACGCCTGTTAACTTTCCTTTAGTTTTGACCTGCTGGGCGGTTATAAACACATTTTGGGAATGGTGGGGGCCAGCATGGCTTGTTGTCGGGGGTATTAGTTAGTTAAATAAGTTTATTCATATACACAAATACAGTTACGAAAATTTATCATAATAGCACAATTTTAGAGAACCAGGAAAACCCAAAAAATCGACAGAGGACTTTTTTTCCACTGGGGGGAAGGTTCGTCTTTTGACTTTGATGTCGTAACTTAAAAATTTTCGTGGGCTGCTAAAAAACGCTCAAAAGGCTGTCAAAGGGTTATAAAATTACACTGAAAAACACAAAAAAACCTTTGGGCCAGCATGATCTATTTTAAAACAATTTTAAATTTATTATTAGGAAGGAAGGACAAAAACTTACCAAAAAAAAATAATCTACATTAATATAACTTATATACAACTTATAACTACTATATAAAACCACCACATTCCTTTTCCATCAACTCACAACACACGCACAATGAGTTCAACAAAAAAAATAAAATTTATAACAGGGGGCTCCATGACCCCCCCCTTTCGCAGGTCATACCTACAGGGGAAACTTTTAAATACTCCAAAAACACAGGCCCTTGCTTTTGGGGTTTACAAAAAAACTTTACCAAAATTACCTACCAAACTCCCCGCCCAAACAATTTTCCCTCCGTCTGGTATTGAACAAAACCCCTCACTGCCCCTTCCGGGCCACTCAACGGCGGGAAAATACTCTTGGGATTTCATCCAAACCTAAAACTACGTATGTTTAGGGAAAAATACATTAACATGGAGCGTTTTTTTATATAAATTTTTTTTTTACAGTATTCCAAAACATCAGAAACAAAAAAAGTTTTCCGACCCCGGGTCTTAATCAATGATGACCCCTTTGGGAGCTTTTTGGCACGATAAAAGGCCTTCCCTGGTTTACTTTAAAAATTATGGTCAGAGCTACAACCCTTATATAATTTTCCTTCCTTCTTTTTTGATTCGCCGCCTTCTTCTCGATTCGCCAGTACCCGCCCCCCGGGGCCCCTTTTCCAAGTGGGGGCCCGACCTTGGGCTCCCTGTCCGGGAGTGTCTCAGACCAATGTCTGCAGGGAGGAGGTAACAATTGCCTCCTCACTTTGGGATCAACTGTCTCCACCCACCACATTCCCCCCCTCAGGGGCCCGGGGGGAAACTACCTTTTCTGGTCTGCCACCCCCCCCCCAAGGGGGACTAATGGAATGACATCTTGGAGCTCAACTCGGTCAGGCCCCTACCCTACCCTAAAGGGCGGG